TTCAGGCTGGCCTTGAGCTCACTTTGTAGCCCAGGCTGGTCTCGAACTCATGACGATCCTCCTGCCTCAGCCTCTCTAGTGCTGGGATTACAGGCATGCGCCACCACACCCAGCTCTCTCATTGATTTTAAATTTATTTTTGTATTAGTACATGTTTGCTATACATAGTGATGACATTAACCATGAGAAATTTGGACACAACGCATCTCAGTTCTTTTTTTCCATTCCCCTCCTTCCCTTCAATGCCCCTCATTTACAAAAACTCGGTTTCCATTTTTTCCTTCCATTCTCACCTTTTTTTCAAATCTTTTTTCCATTCTGTCCTTTCCCCTCTTTCCATCTTTTGTTTGGCTACTTATTTTTATTAAGAATGCTCTTATCATTCAACTCCTTAAAGAAGCTTTCGCTAGCCATCCTTTCTGAAGTGAGCACTGTTAAATAATTGTGTGTGAGGAAACATCCAGAGACTGAGACTGTGGGAAAGACTAGATTTTATTCCACCTTTTATTCCAAGCAGGATGAAATTGAGTGATACCAGCACCTATCTCAAGGGGGTGCTAAGTACATACAGGGATTAGGGTTGAGGGTTGTAGTCTCAAAGAATCTGAGTGGAATGTCTGTAGTCAAAGCTGCAAGGGCCACCAACACAGGTCTGTATGCAAAGCTGGCATCAGGATGACTAAAAGCTCAGTTCTAAATTATTTTTTATGGCCCTTAATTCTTGTTTGCTAAGTGCAGCCCAAATGCTTGTTGTTTGTAGTGGGCAGCATGAAGGCAGGTCTGACAAATACCTAATCACACAGATCCACATTAAATCCACCCATAGCACGAATTACTTTGTGGTATATTCATATCTTTGCCTCTTGTGAGCTTCCTATATAAATGGACCCAATCTGCTCCACTCTTGTATTCCTAGTTCCCAGAGCACTGGTAGAGCACAATTAGTGCTAATAAATATTTTGTTTTACTGGAGAGTGAGAAGTAAGTATATATCTCATTAGAGAATACCTAAAAGTCAACTGGTAGTAATTTGTTGTTGATAATGGGAACTTAATAGCCAAACAGTGCATCCAGAAATGCACCCTAATAATCTTGTAGTTTATTACTTAGTAGGAATATTGGGTGTGTTAGTTTTCATCAGAATGATCTACTGTGGAAAGTTTGGGGGTTTCTTGGAAAGAAATGCACAGAGAAGAGGGAAGCCTAGAGCACAGGAAAGAGCTGCACATGGCCAGAGGAGAAGAAAGCACAGGATATGCAACAGGTGCCTCTGAGCACTGCGCCTGGTAAACAATGGATATTAATCAGGAAGGAACAAAAAGGTGCTTCATAACAAACAAAAGCATAAAAACAAATCAAAAACCGAAACTAAAAAACAAAATACATGGGAAAGACACTGAAGTTAATGTTTCTCTGCTTCATTGCATGATAATGGTAGAAATCCACTCTTCATGCAATCCAAAGACTAGTTCCAGCTCCTACTATGTAATTAAGAAATCATTTAACTTATTTGCTAAAATGAAATTGTCATACTACAATACTACTGATGTTCCTTCTAGCTCTAACGTTCTGCACCTTGTCTACAGATAATCTTGGCCACTGAGGAATGTTAAAACGGTAACACTCTTTGCTTTTATTCACAGATATCATCTAACTTCTTATAAAATTACACATGCCAAATAGCAGAGAGATTCTTTCAGAGAAAGATGTTATCTTGGTAACAGTCCTGTTTGTTTTTCAGGAATTAAATGGTCGGAAGATTCAGGATCATAGCAAATACATAGAATATTATTTGGTCCTGGATAATGGTGAGGTAATTATTATCAGATAACTTTGTCCTTGGAAGTCCTTTTCCATATAAATTTATTTATGATGTGGGATAGTAAATATGTACATAAACTTTTATTTATTTATTATTAAGCTTATTGGTACACTTCAGATACACATAATGATCACATTCATCACAGGGAACGTGTACCTGTACACGATGTATCATAGCTCCTCTTTTTGTTCCCCTTCCTTCCCTTCAACACCTCTTCCCTTCCTTATTCACAAAGCTTATTTTCATTTATCCTTTTTTTCTCATTTTTTCTTTTCCCTTTTTTCTTCCCCTCCCTGTTCCTTTTTCCTTTTGAACAATTTCTTCTTATTTCATAATATCTATTATGTATTTTGGTTCTTATTTACACTTTTAATTTCTCACAGCAGAAGGTCAGTGCAATATTTATACACATGTGTGTCCAATTTATTTCACTTAAGAGTATGTTCTCAAGGTGCACC